GGAGGGCTAGAGAACAACATTGGAAAGAAATTACTGAAAGCCAATTTATCATTATGTTGTATACTCAGCACAATATTTTCAAAAATTCCGACATCATCCTCGAAATTCAGAGAATGAAGAAACCAATATATTGCTTTGCTTACGACAGCACACTTGTTTCGTCATTCCATTTGGGTTTCAGGACATCGGCGGCGGAAGCACGTATTCACCGGCAGCAGGAGGTTCTAGAAGTGATTTCAAATCGGGGTGGAAGTAACCAGGTTCAACTCAATGCCTCGAAAACCCAGGCATCGGTTTTCTCCAAAAAGGTGACATTATTATATCCGAACCGGATATTATATCCGAACCGGATGTAATAATGTCACGACAAACAATTCCGCTTCCTGCTTCGATAAGTTTGTTGGGGGTTAAAATGGACACCAATATGTCATGGTGTCCATTTTAACCCCAATATGTCATGGCACGATGATGTCGCTGAAATTGTAAAGGCTTCTTCTCGAAGCTTGGAATTCAATTCTGAACCAGAAAAATGTACACACCCCACCAACTTTTGATACTTCATAAAGCTCGGATCAGACCTTCCTTGAAGTATTGTTTTCATGTATGGAGCTCCGCCCCCAAACATACCCTGAAGTTGCTGGATTTCCTCATGGAAAGAGCCATCCGCCTGATTGGAGACGCGAACATCACGTGCAACCTTGACAGCCTGGTACATCGAAGAAAAGTTGGAGATTTGTCTCTCTTCTATAGATACTTTCACAGGAGGTGGAGGTGTTCCAGTGACTTGGCACATTTGATTCCACCAAGAGCGTTACATATCAGAAATACGCGAATGAATTTAATCTCCGGCTATTCAAATCCAATGTGAATCGCTACCTCCGCACAAGCACCTGCCTTAGAGCCTTGAGGATTTTTCTGTTCTGTTTGCGATTTTGCCCTCTAAAAAGGACGTCAACATTTCGAATTCGAAGTTGAAATTTCAAGAATTTAGTCGAAATTTTGAGTTTGAAATTAAATTTATTTTTCGAAATTTCGAGAAAAAAGTCGAAATGTGTTTCAAAGTTGTAGTTTCCAAAAAACAAATAATTAAAATATGTGACCCTTCTGCGATTCCAAAAAAATATGCAGAAGCAGAACATTCACTGCAAGATTTTGCAAATCATTGATAAATTGTGCTGAGTTCGAGTCAGTGTGACCTCGAAGTTGTAAAAATACAAATGCCGGTGCGAAAGTTTTGTTGAGTATTTCATTTCATCAATATTTCATCAAAATATGAATCAAGTCTCGATGTAATGGTACAGAGCTAGTCAGCAGTCGTTGCAAGTGAGGATATCGAGTGTACGCGAATGCCAATTTTTCTGGAAATATATAAAACATGTATTATAAATGAAATCAACATACACAAATCACCTAACTATAGCATATGTTTATTGAAAAATAAAAATTATTTTGTGCATAAAATATACATAAAATCATTTCAATTAGGACCACTATTGCCCTCTTCGGAGGATGTATAACCCACCTACAAATCCAATTCTTGGAATTCGACCCATTCTCCGGACTCCATTTCAAAATCTATGGAAAATTTATCAGTTGTTTGCTTTCAACAACAACAAAATATCACATGTTGTTATCCTCTTTCATTCCCAACTGGTTGAAAACTTAGATATCAATCTCTTTCGGACCAATCGAAATCGTACTTCATCTCAAAATCTCGCTAGTTATTTCACGTATACTGAAATTAATGCATGAATACTTTATTTTGAAAGATGAAACTTCCAAGATGGCGACTGGGCGCCATCTGGGGGGTCTTGTGACACATCTTTTTGAAGCTCCTGACATATGCTTCACAACTCTAGAATATGATGTCAATATCTTCAACTATTACAAAATGTTGGAACTCTTTATAATTGCCTGAATACATTGATATTTAACTACATAATATGAGGTAGTGAGCTTGAGGTCAGTTTAGAAGATGCTCGAATTGATTGCCTTGAACTTCTTTACATATGAACAGCCTATCCGGTATTTCACACCGAACATTTTCGAACACAGTAACGTCAATATCACTACAAATATCATTATTCTCTGCCGTTTATCCAATATTGAAGCAGATTCAGTTTCGTACACCATTTGCTTCGAATAGCCCCATAGAAAATGTCCAAAGGTGTCATATCTGGCGAGCAGGCTGGCCATTCTGTAGGACCTCGACGGCCAATCTAACAACTGGGAAAAGTAGTATCGAAATAGTTTCTCACTTGTCTGGAGTAATTTGGTGGTGCTTCATCTTGTTGAAATACAATATCCATATCAAATTCATTAGGATTCGCTTCGACGATTTCAGTGATGAGAGGGCCAACAATAGTTTTCAGCATATTCGAATACAGCTCCCCTGTTGAATTTTGATCGATAAATAGAGGTCCCACAATATGATTTCCCAATATTCCTGCCCAAACGTAATTTTTTCTGGATATTGGATATGTGTTTCCCGAATAAATAACTTAACAAACCTTATCAGGTTGTTGGAATTGCCATATGGCATATAAAAAAAATTCTAGAAATATCGATATTAATGTGTTTGTCTTCAGGAAATTATTAAATGTTCCACCATTTTGTAGTAAGTGAAGATATTCACTTCATATTCTATGGTTGTGAAGTATTCGTCAGGAGCTTCAAAATAATGTGTCACCCCATATCTCCCATATCCATTTAATTTTTTTTCCAGATGGCGCCCAGTCGCCATCTTGAAAGTTTCATCTGTCAATTCAACTCCAAAATGAAGTATTCATTTAATAATTTCATTATCTCAAATTTAAATTTTTTGAGTTGACCCGTTCGAAAAATGAAAGGTGGGGGTCATTAAAGAAATGCTCTGTATAACTATCACCACAGAAACAAGGTATACTGTAAATACAATCTTTCGTTTGTTCGGGTTCAGTTTGTGTCAAAGGAGATCTCAATGTGTTGGTAGTTCTGGAAGTTGTTCTCACATCATATATATAACCGTTGTATCTCAATTTCTCAGAAAAACCAGCAGCCTGAAGTATGACGTTGGTTGAATTATATATAAGAACAATTCGTTGAGGCTAGTTTCAACTCACCTTCACATTTGGTTTATGGACTGACACCTATCGGAAAACAACAACTTCCCTGGCTAATACCACAAAGGGCGTTGGATTATATCCGACAGATGTCAGTGCGGGATTCTTCACTGAAGTTATTCCTGCAGATACAACGGCCGGAATCGATTTTCAATAATTGGATCACACTTGCAGACCGGTATTGGGCTGTTTGGCCACTCGTCAGTGCAATCTAGTGTCTATCATCAACATAAAGTCGTTGAACTAATTGCTCTTGTAGATAATTTCATTTACAGCCAGTCCTCAAGTTTGCCCACTTACTTTATCTGAAGTTTATATGACGTTAGTTGTAAGGTATGTATATCGTTGTTAAGTATGTAAAGGTTGTGGAATCTGTATGTTGTGCATCACTTCCATCAACTTCATTGCGAGCACTTTCCATGAACTGCTCTGGTTGTACGATTTTCTCTGAAACAGAATTCTCAAAAAGCATCCAGTATAAAAATGTATTCATGTAGACTGTAGACTATCGCATATAATGTCTGCACATTTCACTCTTTTGACGTATATCAAAGTAATTGAAGCTCCTTACAATTTTAGGCGAGAGTTTTGGAGTGAATTTTGGGTTTTGGGAACAGAAGAAGATTTTACGCAATTCAGCAGGTTGCCTATTCATTTACTCATTTATTTATATCCAAACAAACCTTATTCGATACCTCATGTTAAAATACGCATAATGCAGTAATAGCACAACACTCATATCCAAGTTATAATGCTAGGAAATGCTTATAAATTCACTTTGCGGAAGAGTCGAATCCAAATGAATCATTGCATTGAAGTTTTTGGCTAGTTGAAACATGGTCGCAAGAGGTCGGAAGATTTCGCTTTGTTTGCTTATCAGATTGTGGATATTATTGGAATTTACAACCATTATAATTAGAATGTCAGTATCGAAGCAGTTGATACACACATTTTGAGTCAGTAGTTGTTGTTATGTTAGTGCATTGACAGCCTCATTATGCTATGCGACAGTGAAATTGCCATCTACCCTCTTTTGTACTGTGTTATTGTAAATCATCTCCTCCAAAAAAATAACGCTCGCCGCCGCTGGTCGTCATAAATCAATTGTGACGCGACCAAGATCGCTCCTAACTCAAGAAGCGCTCGAGATCATTCTAGGGCTTCTATGGACTTCTAAGGAATTCTCCACTGGTTTTGAGATAGTTTGTTTGCCGTATATAAGTGCGATCCACACCGATACCGTGGAAGTCAAGCTTAGTGGACAGTGTAGTACAGAGCGATTTGATAAGGCGATAGATATTTGGATAATAGTTGAAGTTTTAGTAAACGTGTTTTGTGGTATCAATAGTGGAAGAAAGTTAACTTTGATTATTTCACAGTGTAGTTAATTGTTGGCAAAACCACGAAAAAACTTAGAATTTGTAGCAATCATCAATATTTACATGGATGGTTCAATTCTTACGGAAGGTGCCATTTTCATCTGTTTCCAAGTCAGATATCAAGAAATTCAATGGTCCTTTTTGAAATTTTCAAATATCCAATATTTTCTACAAAATCTCTAGATCGATCCCATAGTGAGAGAATAGCAGAAAATATATGACATCCCCAGAGCTTTGCGCATCCACGTGCACTTGTTATTTTCACTTTCAACGATTGCTGACTGGGTATGTACTGAATGAAGGTATTTTCTTAACAAAGAGAGGTTTTTCTGAATCTTAGATAAAAATGAATTATCAAAAAAAAATCGCTAAACTTTTGAAGAGTTTGGTAACCAGCTCTCGGACTATATTCTAGAGGAAAAATCTGCCAATATAAGTTGAATTCGAATAAACACGCGGTTTAGTTCATCCTCAGATATACCACCGTTGCTTCTGATATGTTTGGGGCAGATGCTAATAAGTCATTTTATTATACCATGAAAGCCATGATGTGGTTTCAGGTGTACCCAAATGATTTTCAAAAACGGCATATAACATTTTTCCTGGTAACAGGTTCGTGCTTGAGGTTTTCAATGTTTATATTATGTAGCTTTCTGAGTTTTCTGCATTTAGTTATGAACTTAAAAGGTAAGTTGAGAATATTTTTTGTTCACATTTACTGATGTCTCAAACGCAATATTTCAGTTGAAAAATTCTTTATGGAGAAAATCAAAGTTTGCACTGATCTCTCTTGGGAGTTACACTTTTCCACAGTCTGAAAAAAGTTCAATTATACCGGTGTAGAAAAGACAAATTTTTCAATCGTAAAGATAAGTTTCTCAGTTCGTTCATTTTACAGTGTGAGTCACGAGTTCAGTAATGGTTCATGAAAGTTGGACAAAATATACTTTTGAAGATTCTCCATGACTTGAATATGCAGCTTAATTGTGACTATATTTTGAAATCCATTTCAAATATACAGAGTGTCCCTGAAAAATTTAGTATCATGTTTTTTTATTGAAATACTTTCCTTTCTGTTCCACTCTTGAATCCTACGATTCATTCTAAGGGGTCTATTCCGAGGTTTTTGAGATAGGTCCACCTTAGTCCACATGTTCGATATCTATAAGTACCTAATCTACGTTGACATTGAAGAATATAATTCTGTTTGTTGTTACACTGTATATTTCCATACAAGATGGTGAGTGACATAGTGGAGGGTCTTGATTAGTGCAAACACACTTTTTTGACTTTATGTGACTTGATCAAGGCTTGTGATTGCGTATCACATGCGATACTCATTGAAAAATTGAGTCATTATGGTTTGAGAGGTACCATTTGGAGTCTTCTCAGCTCCTATTTCGAAAACAGGTATCAGTGTGTTGATCCTAATATCAAATCTGACATCAAACTGATACAACATGGAGTACCTCAGGGTTCAGTACTCAAAACTTTTTTATTGATTGTGTGCATTAACGACTTACGTCAATGTATTCTATTTGCTGATGCAAGTACTGATGTACTGAATTTCAATTAAGGCTATGTTTTGGACCATATTTAGCACAATTTATTTTTTATCTCGAAAACAGATAGAGATAGGTATAGGACATTATCGACAAAAAAGTATCAAAAAACCAGAGCAATTCCAAAAATGTATTAATATACGGGGTGTTCCATTTAAAAAAATAAAGTTGCTAGGATCATGTTCTATAGATAGAAACTCATCCAATCTTGGTCAACTACACGAATCCCATAGCGATGCATTTTCTGGATTAGTACATAGTGATCAACACAGTTAAAAACCCTACAAAAATCGATGAACAAATCACAAATTTGTAGTTTGTTATCCAAAGATGTTACTACGTGTTCTATGAAATCATACAAAGTTGTTTCGGTGCTTTAATTTTGCATGAAACCATGCTGGTTCAACATGAGTAGTTTATTTTTGAGAGAAGACTTAGTCCTCTATAGTTCTCCTAGCTATTTGAGCCTCTTTTTTTGAAGATTGCAAACTTTTATTTTTCAGTGAACATTCTTCGTTCCATTGAAATATTTATCAGGTGGGTCTTAGGGTATACCATTTCTTCCACGCATTTTTCCAGAAGATTTTTGGAGCTAGCACTGGAATTTTTAAATTCTTTTAATAATTCAAAAACTTCACATTTCTTGATTGGATGGAAAAATATGGAGTTTGGGCAAAGTGTGACTATATTTTTCATAAAATTGGGATCATATTCTCTTTGTTCTTCCGCTTTCGTGAAATGTGCATTGAAATTGTTAGTCATATCACCTTATGTTCTCCTTTTAAACTGGAAATATCTTTGGGCTTATAGTTTTTTTTTCTGGATATAATTTATAGTTTGCACATGGATTTTGATTTATTATGAGAACTATTTATCTTATGATCAATGCATCTTTGCTTATTCTGCTTCAATTTATCCCTGTATGTTATAGTTACTTGGCGACATAATATGTCCTTGAAATTTTCGTTCACTCTCGCGCATTCTGAATACAGGGCTTTTCATGATGAGAGTTATTTAGCCGTTTCTGGCAAACTATTCAACGGATCAACCTGAAAATTCCACAGTATGCATAAGTCAATATAACCTACACGCCTAAAATATTTTAGACGAAGCGGCGTAGTCGCTTCAACTATAAAGTAGCGGCTTCTTTGATTTTTCAAATGGAACACCCCGTATATAATATCATATTATGATTCATTATCACTTTGTCAACAAATTCATATACTATTTC